GGGTCCAGGGCCCTGGAAGCTCAGGGGTTTTAGATGCTCTCTGATGCAATCCGAGCTTTATTTTGGAGCATTTTTGCACATAATTTTTGACCAATATTTCAGAAATAATTTTGGTTGAGTCAAAGAGTCATGAGTGATGAGTCATGAGGGTAAACTCTGGGAAAAAAGGGGTGCGACTGCACCCATCGCACACCCCCTTCGGATGGCCATGTATATATATACATATACTAGATGATTTATAGACAATATAACATAAAAAGTACAAATTTATATAATAAACACGCAGATTTTGCATGTGAAAGAGATTATTTATGCGTCTGTGAGAGGGTAGTAACAAACACAGACACAGACCCACACTGTACTACACACCAACACCCGGCGACTCACCCTGTAGTACACAGCTACATGGCCCTCCTCTATCTTATGGATGGCACAGTTGAGCAGCACCGCAGCGACAACGCCGCTAAGCAACACGATTATCGCTGCGTTCGCCATTTTGTTTCGGCGTTATCAGCGTAAACCTGTAAAACTAAAAAGTACTCGTTGGGTTAGGTCTCTCAGATTTGTGGAGATATTGAGCACGGCCTGGACAGCTAAAGCAATGAAATTATTACTAAACTAGAATAGTTCCTTTTCCTACATCACCTTTGTTCACCAGTTTCATTTATTATTCCGTAGGCCTATTCGGTTAGGTTACAGAAACATGCCCGGGCCCCCCACTCCGAGGTCGGAGGGACCGCATGCGCGTTCCCCAAATCTCCGGTAAAGGGGTATTTTTCGCGCGACAAAATCCGGCCCAAGAATTGTAAAAAAGGGGGTGTATTTGACTTTTCACCCAGAGATTTCTTTAAAAAGGGAGTGTTTTTCCTCTCTCTCTCTTTCATCTTGAATATCATAGAAAACTTTATCAAATCCCGGGATCAAATTCGTGAAATTCCTGCTAGTTTTGAAAGCTCATTCAGGATTATTTCGGATTAGGGGTCTCCAAGGCAGGAAAACCCCGCAAAAAGCCCGCGAAAGGAGGGTTCAGAAATGTTGGCAGTCCTGAGATAGGGGGGTGCTTTCAAAGGGAGGGAACGAGCATATGCGTACCCTAAATAACACTGAGTGGGGGGGGGGGAGGGGATACATGTCATTCGTTTAACTAATGTTAGATTTATAACTTCGTTTACGCGTATTAAGCTACCCCTCACATGGTTCACATCTCGCCCTAAATACCTATATTCACATCTACAAGGGTGCATTTCTCATTCGGGGAATATATTACGTGACGAGGGGCGGCGACGGGGTGTGGAAGATGTTCGATCATCAGACATTGTCGGTATCTAAAATTCTTTCTGAAGGCAATTACGCACGTGCCAACACGTCAGCTTTAACGTTAACATAGCGCAGTACAATTCACTAATATCATGTTGTCAGCCTCGTTACTGTGTTCTTACCTAATCTAATGTAGTAGAAGTTACACACTGTTTGTTTCCCAAACTCAAAAGTACATCTAACTACGAACTATGGGTGACATGTAAACAATACTAAACATGCGCTGATGCAGGCGTGTATGCGAGTATATTCAGTATATTTTTCCAAACCAAGAAATCTATCAATAAAACATGCTTTATTAAATATACACTGCAATTATATTTGTTTATCTAATAAATTATTAAATATATATTTTTGATTAATATGAAAATAATCGTTTATAAATTATTAGAATAGTTTAAACTCTGCATACAATACTTTTATGAATCGCTGGCTGTATTATCGAGCAAGATGGCTGCCCCCAGTGAAACTAAGGGGCTAGAATTTATTGCCCGATCGTTCATAGCGGGAGGTACTTAAAAGATCGTTTATTCGTTAGTTATCAACGTAGATTCCAAATTATGAACCATATTATTCATTCCACAGTAAAAGACATATTGTTTATAGGTTAAGGTTCTAGTTTTATGAGACCTGATTCGCAAGTTCAACTCAAGTTCAAATTAGTACTACTACTACTAGTAGTTTAAATTACATAAATGTTTATTTACATAACATTTTCATTTTGTCATTGTTTTCGCTCTATTTAACAGGTGTATCTGGAATGTGCGCCAAAACGTCGATAGCGCCACTAGATAGAGTAAAAATCCTCCTTCAAGCTCACAACGTACACTATAAACATCTAGGTATACTATGATGATGCAATGATTTTTAACCGAAAGAGTTAGAATTCAAAGATATATGAATTTTAATTCAATTAAAAGCACAGGTCAACGTCTTACGCTCACGAAGATGAAGTCTTCCTATAACTATAAGTACTGCTGCCAGGTTCTATGTCCCTCTGCGTACCCGGTACTGCCGGAACTAGCTCTAGTAGTAGTACTATAGCCCGCGTACATTGACTGCCGCAGGGCTATAGCACATTGTCGCTGTCAGCTGGAAATAGCATCAACACCGGTTCCCGAAGTTCCCTCGAAAAATCGCTTTACAAAACGCAAAATGATCGGGCTTTTTAACACTTATCTATCTATGTGGACATCTCACCTATCTTTTTGAACACTTTACACAACTTTACACCATGTATTTATCCTTTTATTCCACAAAGTAAGCACTACTGGCAATTCATTTTCAAACGATATGGCGTGCGCACGCGTGACGTCACCGGTATTGTATATACATGCACCATAGCTGCCATATGTGTTTTGCGTACATATCTGGTGATGTCACGCATGCGCACGCCATATCGTTTGAAAATGAATTGCCAGTAGTGCTTACTTTGTGGAATAAAAGGATAAATACATGGTGTAAAGTTGTGTAAAGTGTTCAAAAAGATAGGTGAGATGTCCACGTAGATAGATTAAGTGTTAAAAAGCCCGATCATTTTGCGTTTTGTAAAGCGGTGTTGATGCTATTTCCAGCTGACAATGTGCTATAGCCCTGCGGCAGTCAATGTACGCGGGCTATAGTACTAGAGCTATGCCGGAACAGACCCTGGGTACGGTCCGGTATACCGGAACGTACCCTGGTACTATCTAATATGCCGGACCGTACCTCGCCTACTCCACTAACGAGTCTAGGGAGTCGCCTACGCCTGTACTCCCTAACCCTAACCATAACCGGGTAACCCTAACCCTAACCCTAACCATATCAGATAGTTACTAGGGTACATTCCGGCAGTACTCAGGGAGACATAGACCCTATCAGCATAAGTACCGGTACTGATGTTTTAGTAGTAGTATACGGTGAGGAGCTTGCAAGCTCATCATGTTGACATATCTGTTACAAATGTACCATCTTTAAATTAATAAATAAATAATAAATAACAATAGTATGCCTTCTGCCACGAAATTCACAAAATCATAGAGGGTAAAATATCATATATCACAGATCTGTAAAATTCACAATATAACCTGTGTACACCGGTAAAACATAGACATGTGTTTTTTAGGTGTGGTGCGAACATTAAAGCATATTGTGATAAAGGAAAACTTCCTTGCCTTGTACAAAAGCAATGGAGCTCAAATGGTTCGAATATTTCCATATGCAGCCGTGCAGTTTATGTCATATGAACAATACAAGAAGGTAAGACTAGTAAAAGAAAAAAAGCACTTATGTTAATCATTCTTAGGCAAACTTTTTATATCTTATCTTCCTCAGCAAGATTTTAGTTAACTTGAACACACTGTATAGCCTTGCATTCCCCACCAGCCACACCATCAGTTCTCACAACCTTTTATGTATTTAAATTTATTATTAAGATACTAGATCGCGTGTGCACATAAATATTTAATTAGATCTCTCTTATTTCCAGATCATGACGCAATTTTTCGGGCAACATTCGCACATCTCCAAGATGATTGCCGGCTCGTGTGCAGGTGCGTAAATCTTCTGAGGTGTTCACCAGGGAGGCATCATGTGCCAAAGTTTTGCTGGCTACCCAAAAATGACATGTATACGTACAATGTGTCGTTAGTGGCACATTTACACGTGTATTTCATCTCTGCAAGAGCTTAGAGCTCTGTGGTTAGAGTGAGTGTAACACATTGCTGCTTCGTATAAAGAGTGGGGTTGCTTTTTATCTCACTGGCCGTTTCGTTGTCGTTGCTTCCGCTAGACATTGGTGGCGCCATCTAGCCGTTTATCTCTCTTGCCGTTTCGTTGCAGGGGTGTCGGCTGTCACCGTCACGTATCCGCTGGACATGGTTCGTGCGCGGCTTGCGTTCCAAGTGACCGGAGAACATGTCTACACTGGCATCTCACATACACTACGCTCTATAGTAACAAAGGTATACACGTATTTCACACACGCTATACCCCATAGTAACACAGGTACACGCATATCTGAGATATGTGTTAATCTGTGTACATGTACAGTGTATAGTTTACACACTATGCATGTAGTTTATATGTATAGTGACACAGGTAACCACACATTGCACACGCACCACATGCCGTACTTTTTCCCACACGCAGTAGTTGTCTTGAGCAAAACGCTCTTAACAATTGTGGTGGCACCACTTGTATTGTCGGAATGTCGCAAATGGCTTCTTGGTTCGTGCGACGACTTTCTAGAGTCTCGTCGAAAAATTCCTTTTAGCGATCGTAAACGTTCTGCTGTTTCAGGAAGGAGGCGTCAGAGCCCTCTACAGGGGATTCTCGCCGACAATACTAGGAATGATACCTTATGCAGGTAAGTAGAACCTTGACTTCATTCTCACCTGCCTTTTTTGCAATATCTCGAGAAAATCAAGGCAAATCGGTCATCTAGGCTGGAGCTAAATTTTTTGTCCTACTGGATGTAGGTTTTTGTTGATCTCAGCATTACTACGTGGGCAGTAGATGTCTAGCTGTTGCTGTACTTCTCATACATATCGAAACATTTATTATATATTACAATATTATGTTCATGTATATATATATATATATATATATATATATATATAT